AAAAACATCCTCAAAAAGACTGTGGTTGATAAAGTGAGTGAGCTCGTTGCATGAGCATCCAACATTAAATGTGCTGGTACCATCCAACCAGATGTGGAACAAATATCGGTTGTATTCATGCATTACAGCAAACGCAAAGGCGTATAGAGCACTAAGCCTGTTTGGGATTCAAACACAGAATGGACGAAATATGGACAAAATGGCCGAAAATGTCTCTTTAAAGGTGGTTTGGAGACAGCGGGCCTTTGGTAAAAGGGCGTCCAAACTTGAGGAACATAGGCTCTCCTCAAAATTTATGCCGGTCATAGGGCCCGTAAGTCTCGCGAGGCGCTACTTCCGCTACTAGATTTCCGGTGACAAGCGAATACCCAAGAACCAGTTCTGGTGCCAAACTGCGCGACCGCCAAATATCACCTTACTAGACCGGACCAAGTGTACTTCCATGCTTGGCTGTCACAGCTGGTGACAGTCGGAATAATTGGATCAGTTGGGGACGATAAGATCGAAAATTTATTATTCCTTCAAGGATTATCGGTTCCTTACTGACAACCGACAACCATGAGTCAATTCGAAAACATATGAGTACCTTTCTTTAGCTATAATATATTTTTGACAACCAGTGCAGCTCTATCGCTAAACGTGTTTCTTCTCAGTATCGCGGACAGTGTTTGTCACAAAACATATTTCGGGAATCAATGACATGGTTAACGTAAAATGCATTTGAGTAATCTGTATTTATATTGAATTTATAAAACTATTAATCAATATACTGCTATTCATAAAACAGCCATGTGTTACCAACTTTATCAAGTTGATGTTCTATTCATATTTGGCCACATTGACTCTGTCATTTCCCTTTTCAATTAAAGTATGTAATTCCAAATTAGAATATTTGTGTTTGTTTAATTTATTATTTATTTTCTAAATACATTTGTTATGCTGCAGCAATATTTTGTAACTATTCCAAATTAAAAGCTATATTGAATATGTAAAAAATAGTTTTTTAATTTGGAATATTTACAAAATATTCAATAGAGACAATTGGCTTTATGCAATGTAAAATGCATGTGTATATATACTTGAGGTACTAATATAAATACTTTGGAAACTAGTTGGTAGGCTTAATAATTTTACTCACTTCCAAGTCCAAGGGATGACTGTTGAGGTGACAGAATGATTCAAAGATACAAGAAATAAATTGTTTGTTGTTTTGCAAATGTGAAAGAAAATGCATTATAAATTTTACTTTGGATAGATGACAAGGATCTGCATGTGTCAAATTGTTTCTTTGCCATGCTGTAAATATACTGATAATGATATATTGAATACAGGGATTGGGATGGAGACCTTTGACAATTTCAGGATTATTAGCCATTTTCTGAATTTAGAATGAATTGTATCAATAGTAAACTTCAAAATTTTAATGGGTCATTTTTATTCTAATGTGCAAAATGGACCCTGTCTTTCCCAATGCCTGGAATAAATATCAGTTCTTGTAACATTATATATTTCTTTTATAAATATATGAACTTTCCCATTTATGGTGACGTTTTTATTCACACAAGAAGTCATAGTGTCACAAATCAATCAACAGCTGGACAAAATAACCTTGTTGGCATGGTTACAATTATATCGGTTACTACAGTCAGATATTCAAAACAAAAATGTGAAAACCCTCAGCCATATGAATATTCATCATGAAACAATTATTTATCAAATTATGTAAACATTATTTTAGCGGTGATATATGAAACCTGGTTGTTGGACAATATTTATTACACTTTGTACTAGATGTCTAGGAGTGAGTGAACTATGTACTATGATCTAAAGTACATGAGTGTTATTTAGTTCTTGGTTATGCAGGGGTCAGGTTCTGCTATAATGTAAGCAAAATATGAAGCAGCACACAGCACCTTCAAGTCACAATTGGCAAAAATGGAAGATCAAATACACTCAAAATATGGAGTAATCACTCAAAGACATTTCCTGTATTGTAAAATATACTGATCAACACATGGGGAAACTAAAGTGCATATATACTATGTCATGACAGTAGATTCTGCAGACACTGGCTGATAGCAGCATGAGTATGATTACTTGTCATGTAATATAGTGTTTTTCACCCCATTTTTAGTAACTTATATATTCCAAATATTCTGCCAATGAGGCCAAGGTTGGTAACTGGCATTCCATATTTTCCACTATACAGTTAGACCAATATGTTTTAAATAATGGAAAAGAATAATGTGTACTGGTTATTGTGCTATGAACCAGTGTTGTAATCTTACAGCAAATAAAAGCAAAGAATTTCATATTTCAACAAAATTCCATGTCATGTAGAATCACATGCCTATGCCATTGCTTAAGTTTAACTTTTCATTGGTAAGCATGTTTTTTTATGGAAACTGGAGTAGTAGGGTTACCTAGTGGTTAAACTGTTGACACTTGTCACACTGAAGGCCCAGGTTTGATTCCCCACGTGTGCAAAGTGTGAAGCCCATTGCTGCTCTCCCCAGCATGATGTTGCTGGAATATTGCTAAAAGCGGTGTAAAACCCAACTCTCTCACTTGGAAACCTTTGCTATATACACTGAAAATCTAATCTCCTACATCCATTGTTGTAAAATTACTGTCAAATCAGTATCATGGCTAAAAGCAGAAATCTTCCAAACCATTTAATTTGTGCTTGCTTTATCCACACTTAAAACACAATAAACAAGTTTTAGATCTATTCTGCAATTTTATTCCAAAGACATAATTACTCATAACATATCAAACATTCTTTGCATTTCCCAGATGCTAAACCTGAAAAAATACTGTAACAGTATCATCTGGAATACAAATGTTCTTTCATGGTCACTCATCTAAATTCTCACTGAATTATCTGAGAGTCCCAAGATGTCACAAGACTTTCCACAACACCTTGCTGGTTACAAGCATTTCCTGTTCCAGCAAGTGTCCAAAGGATGATGTGTAGGGCTTTAATATGTTTTATAACTGTATATACAACACTTCAATGACTTGCTGTTTCTTCATTTGCAATGTATATTGCTTGACCACCAGATGTTAAAAGAAATCTGTTTCAGTTTGTGTTGCTCTTGATGTCAATGGTAATTGTGGTGATAAAGAAATCTATTCCTCCTTTCTCTTCTTAAAGATGTGCATCTGTTCCAACTGAAAAAAATACATAACACACATGAGACCAAGTATGATATACTTAATAAAATATAAACAGTTCCTTACAATGTTGACATCAAGATATTATTGATAAATTAAGCATGTGGATGTTATGTTTAACTGAACATGCTGCACCATAACCAAATGCTAAATGAGGTTGTAATAACATATTAATCAAGCTCATATTACAGAATACATTTGAGAGAGACACCTATTCAGAGCTATTGGTATGAATCTAAGTGTGGATATAATCATCATTGTTTACGCGCTATTAAATTATTATTTAATTCATTACATTTATTTTTTTAGAATTACACCTGGATTTTCATTGCACATTAAGTTATCTTCTGGATAATTCCAACTGCAACATACTTTATTTATTAACACAGCTTTTTGGGTACACATGCATTATACCGGATACCTGCCTGCCACTGTAAGATATCAAATGCAATCAAACGATCCACCAATCTGCACACATGTCAACTTCACCCTTACTGTGCGTGCCATGCTTAAAAAATACCAGCCTTTAAATGAAAACAAAGAAGTCCATGTAACAAACTTACCTCGACTAATGAATGGGCCAGCCTGAAGACGACGCTGTGACAACTCTGCATCTGTTTGGCAAATATTCACGTGCTATTCATGCAACATTGCCATAGTGCTTTAGCAGTCCATAGTCTGTTACATGGCATAGGTTTCTGATTCACACAGCCAGTGTGGAGTATGATTATCCACGGCATACCCCATGTAACAGTGTTATCGCCATTGCCGAAAAACGTTGTTTGTCACCGGAAGTACTAAACAACGTAATCTCTCGCGAAGTGCCGTGACCTACTTACGGGCCCTATTGGGTCATGAATCCCAAACGAGGCTGAGTGAGCAAGCACGTCAACATGGCGACAGACGTGTATGACGTTTTGTTGTTTCGGGATACAGGTGGGTGAAACAATGCCCAACACTGCAGCGTATACAAATGTCAGTCTAACAGCCGCTATCCGAAGATCCCCCTGTATGTTCCACCACTTTCCCAAAGACAAACACTTGAGGAAAACATGGCTTGTGAAAATTCGTCGGGACGAGAGTCCCTTTTTCAACGTATGTCACTCAGCATAACGAAAATTGAATTTACTGAATAATATTCTGTTAGCAATTTATTTTTGTGGTAATATTCCAATATCTGTATTTGCTCAGAATATTAGAAACTATTACGAATACTATTGAAGAGTAGGGGGTCTGCGAGTATCAACCGTCCTATTTCGAGGGGTGGATACAGCTTTTTGAGAAATGGGGGTGCACACTTCATTTTCATGAGAGTTTCAGTGGTCATTTAATACGCTTTCAGGACAAAAAGGGAGTGGGTGGATGGGGGTGCGCACCTCTGACTCCCCCCCGCCCATCTGGATTCGCCTACGCATTTCCGATCACTTTTCACTCGTGGAGTGTTTTCAAAATTCCAAAGCTCTACCTATACCATTCCATCACTTTGGTAAATAGTCTAAATTCTGCAAAGTGATCGAAAATAGGACAGTTACCATAATTACCCTTTACACTTCAACTACCAAATAGATCGATAGATAGATACGATAAGTAATTACATCTATTTTTCAAATCATTATGCAAAATGTTAATGATTTGATCTAAAAAAAGGAAAGTCTCATTATGTCTCTGGCATTTTTAAGCATTTTTGTTTGTTCGAAGATGTTTGAACTCCCATATCAGATTGTTAATCTACATTTATTTTTTTCATATAGGTCAGTAAGTCCTCAGTAGTCTGCAGCAAGCATTTTGAAGCAACAGACTATAAATGGACACCTGTGAAGCGAATGTTGAAGTCAGGAGTCATTCCATCAAAGTTTTATTGGTTCAAGGAAGTAAAGAGACGATCAGGACTTGCTATAAACAGACAACAGTTGGAGACACACATACCAGAGACAGCAGACAATGCTATAGAGGATCCAATGGAGGTGGAATCTGATGCTGATTGTGTTGAAACTTCAGATGACACAAAACAACTTGAGGATGACAAAGTCAGTGAACTACAGGACATGTTGAAGAGATGTAGTGAGGAAAATGAGAAACTTCAAGCAGAAAACAAATTGTTCAGAGAAAAATTGCACATTAGTCGTTTTGGCATCAATCGTTTCTCATATGATGACTGAAAAATAAGGTTTTATACAGGATTTATCTCATATCAGGTTTTAATTGCTTTCTTCAATTGGACCCAGCCAACAGCATCAAACATGAAAGTATGTACTATCTGCAGGCTAGTGAGAACACATCTCTTGCTGGGAGGAAACGGAACATGCTATTGATAGATGAACTATTCATGTTTCTGTGTCGTATGAGGTTGGGACTGCTAGAAGAAGATTTATCCCATAGGTTTGACTGTACTGTGTAAACAGTGAGTCGTAAAATTCTAACATGGCTGAATTACTTGTACTTTGTTTTGGGAAGCATTCCACTGTGGCTTTCAAGGCAACAAATAGACTATCTGACGCCTGAAGATTTCAAGCCGAAGTATTCTTCAACCCGAGTTGTCTTGGACTGTACAGAAATCACATGTCAAGTCCCTTCATCAATGGTATTGAATAGCCAAGCGTATTCAAATAACAAGGACAGAACACCTTTCAAATCTCTGATTGGCGTAGCCCCACATGGTGCAATGACTTTCTTATCCCCCTTATACACAGGATGCATGTCAGACAATGAAATTGTGAAATTATGTGGTATTAGGGATTCACTTGAGGAAGGAGACAGTGTCATGGCAGATAAAGGTTTTCAACTTGGAAGATATTTTGCAGAGAAGAACATCGGTCTCAACATGCCGCTATTTTTCTCAACAAGTAATAATGGACAATTCACACCTGAACAGGTGGAACTGAATGAGGAAATTGCTAGTCTGCGTGTGCATGTGGAACGGTTCAACAGACGTGTGAAGGAAAATCACATATTTGACAATGATATACCAATGTCAATGGTTGGTTCTATGATTCAATTGTGGTCAGTTGCATGTATTCTTGCCAATTTTCAGGGACCATTAATAGCAAAATGAGATATTGCATGCTCTGGTCATTCCGGATATTCCAGACTTAAAAATACATGCCATTTTGATAGTCAACAAATGTAATAATGTTATATTTGGGATAACACTATCTGCAAGAGTACCGATTCTAATACGAGTTCCTCCTGAGATTCGAACCCACATTCTCAGAGTCAGGCACTAATCGCCAGCACTGAGTGTCCCCGACACCTTATCCACAGTCAATGGCAGTCATTCAGTGCCGACAGTTACGCCTGACTCTGAGGGTGTGGGTTCGAATCCCAGAAGGGACTTGTACTAGAATCGGTACTCTTGCAGATAGTGTAATCTGAAATATAAGTTATAACATTGTTATATTCCAGACTTATTAATAAATGACATTGGAAATATCTCTTGCAAAGTGTCCTTAAATGTCTGCATAATTTTGATATATCCCTCATGTCAACAGCTTTCCCCAGAATGTCCCCTTATCTCTGATTATAATTTCACAACCAGAACAAATGCACATGCTATGAAATTGACCAATTAGAGATAAAGGTGCATTCTGAGCAATGCTATCGACCTAAGTCTGATCACTTTACATCTTAGAAAGAATTCTGTAAAACTCATCATGAGGGGTTTAAGAGAACCAAGTCAAAATATTGCAAGTGACATATATACTGGACAAAATAATTTAGGGATATTGGTATTTTCATGATTGATATTTTATCAGTGTGTCAATTACAAATTCAGGTTAAAAGACTTTCAACTATGTTCAAGATCTTCAAGTTCAACACTAGAAAAATGAATCCAGTGAAACCTGCCAACATCAATCAGGAAGTAGTGATTGCACGTTGAATCAAACGCTCTAAGTCGACATGGGTATGAGCAGTCCAATCAAGGTCCCTTAATCCAATACACTCCTCTAGGCCTGCAAATGCTATATTAATTTTAAAAGTAATAATTGAAAAAGAAGTGGTCTGTTTTATCTTTGCCATTCTTCAGCATCAAAAAGGATTGTTTCCAGATGATAGTCATTTTCACACCAAACAAAGAAATCACACCACTCTAGTCCTGTGACTCCAAGTTGAGTTTGCACTTGGGTGTAATATGGATGGTTATGATTAAGTTGAAGACGATCCCCCACTCTCTTCAGGTATGATACTTCAAGAACAGATGTGACACATGGACATTTGACTTCGAGAATGCCAATAGCAGGCTGGCGATTTGGTATATAAACTTTCCGATCTGGTGTAGCGGCGATCCAATAAGCCCAGGGGCTTATGACAATGCCAACAGGATAAATGTTTGCTCCATCAAGTACCTGAATGTTTCTATCAATAGCAACTGGTACATTTGCTAGTCCTGTTGCCATGGCCTGTGTTGTCTTGTTTTATTCCGCAGATCTTCATCTAGTCTTTCATAGTTGTCTCTTCTGGTAAGTACACTGCGCATCTTTGAAGCACCAAGACGATCTTTCTTAAGTTTACACCAAAGACTACAGTCACTCTGTAGCCTGGTTTCTTCCTCAAATGTATGTATTTCTTCAACAGTGCACTTCAAACACTCCAATTTCAACTGCTTTTCTTTTGTCAGTGGAAACATAACCATATTGTTTTCAATCTTGTTGGATACTGGTAATGGTGGATACTTCAAATTGTCAAAAATGGAAATGTTATAGTGGGGATTCAATAGCACAGCTATAACAGACCCCTTCTGAAATTTACCAAAAGAAGTTTCAACCATTGGGACAGACCCACTCACACGTAGCTCTAAGGCTGGGATAATCATTGATGATGGTGAAACTTTACCCAGTGATGCATAGAGTTCAGCATGATCTGGCACATCAGTCCTGAGAGGGTTGTATAATGTTGATTTCACCTGCCTTTTAGGTGCTTCCATGGGGTTGTGCTTTTTGCTGTATCCAACAGCCACAACGTCATGCACTTCCACTCCAGTTATTTTCTCCCTTATAGGTTTATGCCATGTCTGTGGCTCAGATGTTTTCACAGGATCTGTTGGAATCACCTTGTTTCCCAGTTTCTTTAAGTGACCGATGTCATATAGTAGGGCTCCAATATGGCAACAACCTTTCCCTTCACCTTTGGGACAGTCACACTTTGCATCTTCAACATAACCACAAGCCACACCAATAAAACTCAGTGTCACCTGCAACAAACACGATGAAAGACAATATTTACAAAATGTACATATCAGCAGTTATTATAAATTTGCATTTTAATTCACATTGGAAATAAATGCTGGGATGAAGCTAACTCTGAAAAACATATGTTACTGTATATCTTTAATGTTAAACAGAAGTGTTTTGTTTATTAAAGTAAAGAATCTTCACAAAAACACCAAATCTTAAGGAAGTCAACATAGAATCAGCATGAACGAATGAAAATTAACTTATATAGTGCCTTATTTCTAGACATGTTGCTGTGACTAGTGTGAGCTGCTCAGTGATGCTCAACAAAGACAAACTATATTATATTAATATACATTCAAAAAATTACAGATTATTCACATCAAAGCATTTCCAAGAAAAGTAAAAGTGTTAACTGTAATGCTTGCAAACAAAGTTTAAAAGGAGATTGTTCATGTTATCAGCATTTCTTTTAATAAGGTCAATCAATATATCAATGGTATATAATTTGAATTTTAGGCTGACAAACATGAACTGGCTCCTTTAATTATAATATAATGAGAACACATCTTGGCATGATCAAAAATAAAAAGTGATAAACTGAAAAAAGGTTCTTAATTAGTCAATGAATAAGCGTAACTCAACATGAACGCTTTCAAGACATGCCATTTTTCATTTACCCATATGGAATATACTTTATTTCTCTGTGAAGCATAGCACTGGGCTGACAATCTACACCCTGTACTTGTTTTTTTTTTGAACTGACCTCATATATCAATGATGTGGCACTAATGTCTATTTTTCAGTATTTATTAACATCTGATTCTGAACAATCTCTACCGTACCAGCTGCACACACGTTGCCATGGCATGAGATCAATTTCCACGTAACTACCAAGAAAAGAAACAAATTACAATGATAATTATATTAGATCCATAATATTTATTAATACCATTATTAGATCCACATAATATTTATTAAATATAATTTATGTGTACATTATCATCAAAATAGTCTGACTGGATAAGACCGAAGGTAGATAATATAACATCAGTAATTCCCACAGTAATTCTGAGATATGTATAATTTTATCATGTACACACGTTGAGGAAACCTACCAAACCTGATTTTATATCCCGATCGGCCGACAATTCGGGATATTTCAATATATGCAACACTTGGATTTAAATAAGTAAAATTTATATTTTTTTCCCGATCGCAGGGGAATATATAATGAAATAGCCCGAACGGGGTATGATATCCCATTCGGTAGGTTTCCCTCACCTGATACATGCGGCATGATGCGATATGTTTACCAGCAGCTGTTTACTTACTTTGTCTGTTTCTCAAGTATTTCTCGTGGAAATAATTGTATGCTTTTTGCATGTGACTCTTTCCTGATGCCTTGGATCTTGACTGCAGGTAATTATCAACCAAATCTTGAGTAAGAAGACCGTGTGGCAGGGGAGACAAATCCCTCTGTCTGTAGAATACCGCTGACGACACCATGTTTCTCGCCGGGGATTCCTTTCTCGTGCTCACTCAACCTCGTTTTGGATATTTATGCTATTTTTAGCCACCTAATTTAAGAAAGGCCTATGTACTGGAACCATCCAGCCTGATGTGACACAAATATCACATGTATTCATGCATAACAGCAAACAATAAGACACCCACAACAGGGGCCTCTTTGGGGTTCAAACACAGAATGGACGAAATATGGACAAAATGGCCGAAAATGTCTCTTTAAAGGTGGTTTGGAGACTGCGGGCCTTTGGTAATAGGGCGTCCAAACTTGAGGAACATGTACTGGAACCATTCAGCCAGATGTGGCACAAATATCACATGTATTCATGCATTACACCAAACAATAAGACACCCACAACAAGGGGCCTGTTGTAGATCATGTCCTGGTACCACCCTACCTGATGTGGCACAAATATGACATGTATCCATGCATTACAGCAAACAATAAGACACCCACAACAAGGGGCCTGTTGTAGATCATGTCCTGGTACCACCCTACCTGATGTGACACAAATATCACATGTATTCATGCATTACAGCAAACAATAAGACACCCACAACAGGGGGCCTGTTGTAGATCATGTCCTGGTACCACCCTACCTGATGTGACACAAATATCCCATGTATTCATGCATTACATGTATTCATGCATTACACACAAACAATAAGACACCCACAACAACAGGGGCCTGTTGTAGATCATGTCCTGGTACCACCCTACCTGATGTGCACACAAATATCACATGTATTCATGCATTACAGCAAACAATAAGACACCCACAACAAGGGGCCTGTTGTAGATCATGTCCTGGTACCATCCTACCTGATGTGACACAAATATCACATGTATTCATGCATTACACCAAACAATAAGACACCCACAACAACAAGGGGCCTGTTGTAGATCATGTCCTGGTACCACCCTACCTGATGTGGCACAAATATCACATGTATTCATGCATTACAGCAAACAATAAGACACCCACAACAAACAGGGGCCTGTTGTAGATCATGTCCTGGTACCACCCTACCTGATGTGACACAAATATCACATGTATTCATGCATTACAGCAAACAATAAGACACCCACAACAAGGGGCCTGTTGTAGATCATGTCCTGGTACCACCCTACCTGATGTGGCACAAATATCACATGTATTCATGCATTACACCAAACAATAAGACAATAGATCATGACACCCACAACAAATATCCCATGGCCTGTTGTAGATCATGTCCTGGTACCACCCTACCTGATGTGACACAAATATCACATGTATTCATGCATTACAGCAAACAATAAGACACCCACAACAAGGGGCCTGTTGTAGATCATGTCCTGGTACCACCCTACCTGATGTGACACAAATATCACATGTATTCATGCATTACACCAAACAATAAGACACCCACAACAAGGGGCCTGTTGTAGATCATGTCCTGGTAGCATCCCACCTGATGTGACACAAATATCACATGTATTCATGCATTACAGCAAACAATAAGACACCCACAACAGGGGGCCTGTTGTAGATCATGTCCTGGTACCACCCTACCTGATGTGACACAAATATCACATGTATTCATGCATTACAGCAAACAATAAGACACCCACAACAAGGGGCCTGTTGTAGATCATGTCCTGGTACCACCCTACCTGATGTGGCACAAATATCACATGTATTCATGCATTACAGCAAACAATAAGACACCCACAACAAGGGGCCTGTTGTAGATCATGTCCTGGTACCATCCTACCTGATGTGGCACAAATATCACATGTATTCATGCATTACACCAAACAATAAGACACCCACAACAAGGGGCCTGTTGTAGATCATGTCCTGGTACCACCCTACCTGATGTGGCACAAATATCACATGTATTCATGCATTACACAACCAAACAATAAGACACCCACAACAAAACAATAAGGGGGCCTGTTGTAGATCATGTCCTGGTACCACCCTACCTGATGTGACACAAATATCACATGTATTCATGCATTACAGCAAACAATAAGACACCCACAACAAGGGGCCTGTTGTAGAGGGGCCTGTTGTAGATCATGTCCTGGTACCACCTACCTGATGTGACACAAATATCACATGTATTCATGCATTACACAAACAATAAGACACCCACAACAAAGGGGCCTGTTGTAGATCATGTCCTGGTACCATCCTACCTGATGTGACACAAATATCACATGTATTCATGCATTACAGCAAACAATAAGACACCCACAACAAGGGGCCTGTTGTAGATCATGTCCTGGTACCACCCTACCTGATGTGACACAAATATCACATGTATTCATGCATTACACTAAAAAATAAGACACCCACAACAAGGGGCCTGTTGTAGATCATGTCCTGGTACCACCCTACCTGATGTGATCACATGTATTCATGCATTACAGCAAACAATAAGACACCCACAACAAAGGGGCCTGTTGTAGATCATGTCCTGGTACCATGTATATCATGTATTCATGCATTACAGCAAACAATAAGACACCCACAACAAGGGGCCTGTTGTAGATCATGTCCTGGTACCACCCTACCTGATGTGACACAAATATCACATGTATTCATGCATTACACCAAACAATAAGACACCCACAACAAAGGGTCCTGTTGTAGATCATGTCCTGGTACCACCCTGCCAAGGGGCCTGATGTGACACAAATATCACATGTATTCATGCATTACAGCAAACAATAAGACACCCACAACAAGGGGCCTGTTGTAGATCATGTCCTGGTACCACCCTACCTGATGTGACACAAATATCACATGTATTCATGCATTACAGCAAACAATAAGACACCCACAACAAGGGGCCTGTTGTAGATCATGTCCTGGTACCACCCTACCTGATGTGACACAAATATCACATGTATTCATGCATTACAGCAAACAATAAGACACCCACAACAAGGGGCCTGTTGTAGATCATGTCCTGGTACCACCCTACCAGATGTGACACAAATATCACATGTATTCATGCATTACAGCAAACAATAAGACATTGACTGATTTCTGTTCTTGTTGGGTTTGGTATTTCTGGAACTGAGGGTTATAATTTGATGAGGAGGAGTGGTTTGCCAAAGTTTCACCAAGTTTGTTTGCAATTTCAGATTAATTTGTTAAGAGGGAGTCACCATCTTTCAGATGGCGAACTCCGGATTTTGACCCTTTGCCCTTCATCTTTTGAATCATGTTCCACACCTTGGACATGGGTGTGCGGGAGTTGATTTTAGACACATATTTCCTCCATGACCGGCGTTTAGTTTGTTTGAAGCACTACACAAAGATTACACATACAAGGAAGTCTCAGATGGCCCAGTTTGAAGCCAAAAACTCGGTTTCTGTCACCTCGTCATTTTATTTATCTCCATCAAAGTGCAATCATATCGGTAATTGAATGTAGACTCGACAAATCAGTGGTTGGTAGTGTGAGTGAGGAAGGGAGTTAAGGATTCTATATTCAGCAAGGTTTATATTAGGTTTATATCTATGATACCCTGTTGTCATTAGGTAGCTTTGTATCTCCATCCAAGTGCACTAATATATCGGCTTTGACAAACCAGTCTTTGATAGAATGAGTGAGTGTGTGAGTGAGCTGTCCGCTAAATAAGGGGTCTGTCTTCAGTAAGATTTAAGTATTTGATATAATGAGTGAGTGAGTGAGTGACTGACGGCTTGAGGGAGCTGTCCACTTGGTGGGATATCTTTCCTCAGAAAGGCTATCTATTACAAATGCCTATTACACAATACCCTGTAGTTAGTACATAGCTTTGTATCTCCTTTAAATGGCAATAATATAGGCTTTGACAAACCAGCCTTTGATAGAGTGAATGAATGAGTGTGTGAGTGAGTGAGTGAATGAATCAGTGAGTGAGTGAGTGAGCTGTACGCTAGGGGCCTGTCTTCAGTAAGATTTAAGTCTTATATTGAATGGCATGTTGTCAGTCACCTTTTATCTACACCAAGGGGTAGCAGTAGCACGATCCTTTGTAATTAAATTTAGCTTCGACAAACCAGTGCTGATAGTGTGAGTGGTTGAGTGAGTGATTGAGCTGTCCGTTAAATAAGGGGTCTGTCTTCAGTAAGATTTATGTCTTGTATGAGATGCCATGTTGTCTTTAGCTTTGACAAACCAGGGGTTGATATTGTGAGTGGGCGAGTGAGTTGTCCACTCATTAAAGGCTCTATCGTCAGTAACACTTATGTTTTATCTATCATATTCTGTAAACAGTAAGCGTCTTGTATTGACAGAATAAAAAAGTAACAATATCGGGACGCTCCTTCAAAAAATCAGTCATCTACAAATCAGTGTAAGAGTGAATGAGTGAGTGAGTGAGTGAGTCCATTGTCATAGAACATCCAAACTTAAGAAACATGTGCTGGTACCATCCAGCCAGAAGTGGAACAAATATCAGATGTATTCATGCATTACAACAAACGCTAAGACACCTATACCGGGGTGTCTGTTTCGTGTTCAAACATAGCATGGACAAAATATGGACAAAATGACCGAAAATGTCTTTTTACAAATTGTTTGGAGAGTGCGGGCTCGTTGTTACAGAGTTTGCAAACTTGTGGAACATGTCCTGGTACCACCTGGTATGACCCCACCTGATGTGGCACAAATATCACAAGCATTCATGCATTACAGCACGCGCAGAGACACCCACAACAGGGGGCCTATTTGGGGTTCAAACACAGAATGGACAAAATATGGACAAAATGGCCGAAAATGTCTCTTTACAGATTGTTTGGAGAGTGCGGACCCGTTGTTAAAGAGCATCCGACTTGAGGTATATGTGCTGCTGGTACATCAGATGTGTTCATATATTACAGCAAACGCTAATCCCCTTCACTTTGAAGTTGAGTAAATACATTTTGTTGTGTTTT